TCCAGTGCCAACACACAACGCCAACCTTGCCGTCACTCACAATTGTCCCGGTACTCACGGTTGATTAGTAATACTTCAGCTAGTCGAGCGTTAACGACATCTGATTAGTTAATGTAGCCCGATTACGCAATCATTGAAAAATATAATATCGTATTAACTAATATTAAGTTGATATTTAATAATATCATATTGTCTCAAAAGAAAATATTAGGTGATATTTTTTATATTAACTGGTCTACAGGTGATATTTTCACAATATTAACTTCACCGATTTTGGAGTTACCATTAACCCCTGTTCACGGCAGAAAATAAAAGAAATATCGCAATCCATGCAGGGAAGTCCTGACCTACAAATTTGTGCGAGTTGGCTCGCTTGTCTGTAATAATTGACTCGGTGATAAGACCACACGAATTAATAAAAAGCAAACAGGGTGATTTGTTTCGCGCGAGCACTATCTCCCTGGGGTGTTCAATAGCGTCCGTCCAATGGTTTAATCCTTCCACTACTGTCTACCTCATCATTTCCTGGTTGACTGAATCAGTTCTGGCCAAACTGGAACATGGTGGGCTGGTCCGAAGTTGTGCCGAAATGGAACTGCTGAGCGTTAGCATCGGTGTTTGGCGCTAGGCTATCCTCCGCATCCTCTTCACCGTTGAAGTACTGTTCCACGATCTTCATAGACTTCAAGTAGATGTCTAACGATGATATATAAATCATAACATAGTAAACACAGCCGTTTCAACCATAAGAATATCACTAAATCAAGCGCACCTTCGTTGGCATGGTACTGCAGAGCCTGAATCTTGATAACACCGTCCGCCTCATCGATCATCGTAGCAACGTCGTTGATATCGCTGGTCTTCTGTGACTCGCCTGCCCGCAGAATGTTCTCGAGACCTTCGAGAGCTACAATCACAACTTTTGCATCCTTCTCCTCCAGCAGGTCGCACAGAGGCTTAATGCATCCTGAGCACAGGAGCAAAATATCGACGTTACTACTGTACAACAGATACCATCAAAGCCGTTGCACTTACCAAGGCTGACGAGGTGCATGATCTGTTCCGCCGAGCCACCGGATGTGGCGTTCGATACAGCCCACGCGGCTTCCTTGCGGATGTCGAACTCAGCAGTCGACAAGAAGCTGATGAGGGATGGGAAAATTTCGGCCTCAATGATGAACTGGATCTGTTCCTGGTTGCCGGCCGTAATGTTGGACAGTGTCCAGCAAGCTTCCTTTCGGATGCCCTTCTTGGGGCTCTCCAGGAGTGCGCGCAGACACGGCAGCGCGTTCAGGTTAATAATGACCTGCGTCTGCAGATCGTCGCCCGTCACAATGTTACCGACAGTACGCAACGCCGGCGTCTGAACGGAAGGAGAGTGATGCATCAGCAGCTCCACAATTCGTCTGCACACACCAGCCTCAATCACAGCTTGAATCTTTTCGTTCGAGCCATCTGACAGGTACGACAGAGCCCAGCATGCGTCCGTCAGTACTTCCTCATCGTGGGTGTAGATAAGCTGGCCTAGAGTCGAAAGCGCAGGCGACACGAGGTCAAATTGCGGCTGTGGCTTGCCACGGCAAAAGTTGGATAGCGTCCATGTCGCGTTACGAAGCATTGTAGATTTGGAGTTCTCCGTTAGTTGCTGCATAAGCGGACGCAGAGCACCGCAACGCAGAACCATGTCGCGACACTCGATGGAGTCACCGGCAATGTTACCAAGGGCCCACACAGCCTGCTCGCGCACATCGTCATTCGTGGACAGCAGCAACTGGCAGAAAATAGGCACAGCACCATGGTTGATTACCACCTCAGTATCTGCAGAGGTACCCGACGCAATGTTCGTCAGAGCCCAGGCAGCCTCGAACTGAAGCGTCGGGAAGTCTTCGCGCTGAAGAAATTGCACGAATATGGGGACAACACCAGTCTGGATCACTTCCTTTATAGGCGGGTTGCGCTCTACAGACCACAGTTAACAGTTATTCAGAAAGTGTCATATCATCCAACAAGATTGCCAGCGTGTAGATAATTTCTCAAGCTCACCAATAGACAAGAGCTTGCGAAACTTGGTTACCGCCTCGAGCTGCACCGCCGCATCTCCGGACTGCACGCAAGCAACCATTTCCGGAAGCTCCGACAGCTGCAACAGGTCACCACGCACAAGGGTCAGTTTGCGTGCTGTCTTTGGGATACTTGTTTATCCTATCCTGCTTACGCGTTGCTGCAGCGTCATCTCGCCTGTGGCATCTCCTACAGCAGCCGTCGCTGCAACTCCGTCGTCCGCCGGCGTCTACATCAACAATAGCAGAAAGTGAGCTACAAGTACCCACGTTCTGTCCCATTCCACCTCAACTGTAGGATACGTTGCGACCCTAGATTTGCATTTCAATAGAGACGGCTTCTGCCTATCTAGTACGAGTTTGCTCCTTATTGTCTATTGCTGGTGTGGGGTTCCGTACCATGCGGCGACGCTGGTTCATGCGGTCCTCCTTGATGGTCTTGCGAATCTGCACCGTCGTCTCCATGCGGCTTCGACGCGACTCATCGGCGTCGATTCCCTTTTTAAAAAGGTTCTTACGCTCCGGTGCTTTTCCTGCGGGGAACGACATGCTTGCTACTGTTGCTGGAGCTGCTTTCCCGGGACGCTGGCCTGTGCGGCTTCTTTCCTTGTTTCCCCTTCTCGAAGGCTTCGCGGTACTGGTCGCCAGTAAAAACATCGAGTGTGGACCACACTCTGCGAAGAAAAATGATCCCTTACAAAATTCAAGAGGTTTTACGGTTTCCGATAAAAAACCTCGCATGAATGGCAGATTCAGAATTCAAGGTAAATTCAAAATCAATTCGAGATTCTGGACTCCAATCTGGAGTGAACGTCCTTCAAGTTGCTGCCAACCGGCGCAGGGTGGACGATACACCGATGACGTCGCTTAAGAAGCTGCCGTTCTCCACTACCACGACCGATAATGTGCCTGCATCTTTATTGTCTAACAACGTGACTATCCATGTGTTTGACGAGTGCCGCAAAAGCAGCAAAGAGTTTACGTGTCAGCGCGGTCTGCTGCTGGCGAAGATGAAATACTTTCAGGCGTACCTAAACGAGGCTAATGAGCACGATGAGATCGACATCTCCGTGCATTGTGACGTAAAGATATTCGAGCTACTCGTGGAGTACATGCACCAGTGCGACCACGAATGGCGACCGCGCATCACTCTCGAGAACATTGCGTCAATCCTCGTGTCCTCCGAGTTTCTGCAGATGGAGGAGCTCGTGGAGGAGTGTGTGGCCTTTATCTCGGGGTGCGTGCAAGAATTTATGCTACTGCGCGTGGACTTTGGATGCCTGTCTGATACCACCATCTCCAAGATTGCTAATAACTGCGCACCCGAGCAGCTGCACGTGCTCCACGACCCCAAAGACAAAATCCTGTCCAAGCTGCGACGGAAGAAGGTCGAGGCGCTGGTGAAACACGTGCAGGAGGGCGACCAACGACTCGAGCTGTGCTTAAATTGCGAATTGCTCTTTATTAAGGATGGTAGGGGCAGTGAAGGCTGTCATAAAGGTAAACGTCGGATCGGAATACATGGCGAGTTAGTGGGGAGGCATCAAGCCAAAATGGGATGGCAAATCGGGGCATTCTGCGAGAACTCGGTACCGACAAGAACCATGTTCTGGAGCGCAGCGTACTGGGTACATTTGGGGGTTCCCTGGAAGGGTTTCCGCTGCAGCAGGTGCGAGCAAAGGTGTTGCTTACTTGAACTGCAAGAATGCGCCAATCACCCCGGTTCCATCGTCGACCATGGTCCTGCGGTCCAAATATTCGTGCTGCTACGCGCGGATTTTCAGCGTCGACGATATTTCGATGTGCGGGTGTAATACCACAGTCCATGTGCCACTAGAAGATGATAAACACTCCCACGTGGACAAATTCCGCAGTATTATGACACTTCCTAATATGTGGGAGTACGTTCACGCGTGCGAGAAGGTGGCGAGAGGAAAAGGTTCTCTATCAAGTGCGGCTGCAGGTGGTGGCGGTATAAGTGACGTGGCCTTGCTCTTTCCTCCTCCGCAACTGAAAACTGTCGCGAATACGGTCGAGCGCGAACGGTCCTCCAGGAACTTAAACTCTGAAGGGGAAGGCGGCTCCTCGGGCTATCGGAAGCAGTACAAGGTGCTGCAGTTGCAAGAGAAGGATCGCATTCGTTGCCAAGACATCGCGAGGCAGCTTCTACTGCAACGAAAAAGCTGATTACGCTACTTCTGTGTACCGTACATAATCAATATTATTGGAAGCGGTGATGTGGAAGCGTCCCTTGCGAGATGTGGTGGTTCGTTGCCATGTAGGCAACCTGCGAGTGTCTGGAGTGATGACGCGCGATGTCGTGGAGGACGTGTCGCGGCGGTGGGGGCTACCGCTCACCTCTGACGGTACGAAGCTCTGGGGTGAGTACATGGCGGGCACTGCCATGCTCAGCTCCCTTTTAAAGGGGGAGGAGCGCGTCAAGATGATGATCAAGACACCCAACATTCAGGAGCTCTACGTCGAGGCGATGGCCGTCGGAGAGGTGCGAATTTGTTGCAGTATTGCAATGAAGGTGAATAATATTTTATCTGAAATAGGTTCGAGGCAAAGTTGTTTACGTGGATCAATCACGTGCTGGGGTTCCGGAACATGGAGGACACATGCACGTTTCCAAGATTCTGTATGGCGCTGCGAAATCATACAACACGTCCATTGAAGCATCTGGGGTGCCTGAACTCGACTGGCAGAGGTTTTTCGACGTATCAGAGCAGGTTCCGACTATCGTGCGCATGGATAGTGAGTCCGACGAAGATCATACCCGCACCTGTGGTCTCATTGTTCAGATAATGCCTCCAACGGTGGAACATGGGCGACACTTTGAATTAAACGACCTGGCATTCGACAAACTCCCGTTTTGTGCCGCGGAGTTGAAGAAGAACACCGACCTGTTGGAGTATCTGAATGAACTGATTTTGGGGGCTAACTTAACGGATAAAGACTGCAAGCGTGTGCCACTGGATTACCATTGCCGCTGCTCCAAGGATAACTACGCACAGCGTCTTAAGGACATGGGACCCACCGATCTCAAGCAAATTGCAGCCAACGTTGGCAGCGCTGGCGTGGATCTGACTTGTCATTTTTGTAATGATGTACATCACTTTTCTGCCGACGAGCTGGATGGTTTGATTGAATCGATGTCCGAAATGAAGAAATAGGCAGATATATTGACACGGCTTTTGAAAGATGAATTTGACGAAGTCATCTGTCTCGTTGTGTTGATCTAGCCTTCTTGTCCAAACTCCTGCGTCCATTTCACAAAGCGGTTTAGCTCATCAGGGGCAACAGTTGCTGTTGAATGTGCCAGTACACGTGTGAAGTCACTCTGTAGTGGAAATCAAATTATCGAGTCAGCAGCCAAGACCAAACCTGAAAGTGAATAAAGAGAAACTGTCACCATCGAGATCATTGGCGGTCGCAGCTTTTCATCAGAGTAGCCACGCTCTGGTAGGTCGTATAGTCGCATGCGCAGTGCTCCGCAAAGTTGACAAGGGGCTTTGCAGTCCGGACACTTTGAGCGGCACGAAGAGAGCTTCATGTGGCAATACGCACATGGTGGGTCGTCTTCGCAAGGTGTCAAGAATTGACCATTCCGGACAGGGCGTGCCTTGTCGTTACACTGAAAGAAGAAAATAAAGTAGTTATGTAAAATTAAATGCCACATGAGTACCAATATTTCAGCAACTTCACCGCAGTAAAAAACTGAGCTTGTTGACATTTTCGTAGGGGCTCCATTAGCGCATCTCGGACAAGCACCGAGATGTCTGAACCAGAGCACCTAAGCACACACCAGAAATTTACGTCAGCATCAGAAAATACCTCGGCCATTACGGTGAAGGAACGTGCTAACGTACCCTTCTGTTTTCTCTGCGATCGCCGCGAAGTTGTTATCACTCAGCTCGTTGGGCGTATCTCCCAGGTGAATTCCCAGCATCACCTTCCGGGCATTGATATCAGGAAGAGGAATGTAAATGCGTTTTTCGAATCTGCACGGGCCAGTACATATAGCCAGTTAGCTAACGGGGCCGTTCCTTCCTTATCTAAGTAGCTGTAGTACGCATTACTCACCGCCGTCGCATAGCTGGATCGAGTTCCCATGGTACGTTCGTAGCTCCGAGCACCAAAACGCCGTCATGGTTGTTGCCCATACCTTGCATCTGAACAAGAAACTCGTTTTTGATACGGCGCGTTGAATCGCTTTCACCTTCAGATCTACTTGAGCACAGCGAGTCGATTTCATCTATGAATACTATCGCAGGCTTTTTCTCACGCGCCATTTCGAAGAGGTTCTTAACCAATCTACAGTATATACAACAAGGGGGAGGGGGGGGGCACGATAAAGTCGTCAATAAGAATCTGTGTCAGATTCTACCACAGTGTAGTATTTCAGTTTCGTACTTTTCGCTTTCACCTTGCCACTTCGACACCAAGCTTGAAGATGAGACGGAGAAAAACGTGGCGTCTGCTTCAGTTGCGACGGCCTGGGCAAGATACGACTTACCCGTACCTGGCGGCTACAAAATAAAAAAGCAGGTGGGTCCACCCAACAGCAGTGCCACAAATACGGACTCAGAACCTACCCCATAGAGAAGAATCCCCTTCCAGGGACGCCGCTTGCCCGTGAAGAGCTGCGGAAAACGCGCCGGCAAGATGACTGCTTCTTTCAGTGCCTCTTTTGCAGCGTCTAGCCCAGCAACATCGTCCCACTTGACATTTGGCTTCTCCGACACCACCGCCGCTGTGTGACAACAACCGAGCAGCCCATTAGCTCGCTACATATCGAATAGATTTACTCGTCTGGACAACTAACAAGCAAGGGAGCCGCGCAGTTTGGCTGTTTCCACGTCCGTCTCATCGTCGTCTTCCTTGTCGCCTCTACACGCAACAAGAAACAAACAAACAAAAACATTAGCTTTCTTAAGCTTTTATAAATATCCCCCATGACAACTCACTTGTCTATGTCTACAGCTGCTGCCACTGGCTTGGGCGCGTTTTCTTTTTCCAGCATGCCTCGCAGCTGCTCCGCGCGCGTCATATACCCTTCCACGCGCTTCATGATAACCTCCTTAGAAGTTGGGTTCTTCTCGTCTGTACGTCGAAAGAGGCGTAAGAGGCACGTCAGTCCCTAGCGCTTGGTTGGCTCGGAAGTGCCAACTTCTAACATACATTTGACGCCGACCATGAAGTGCTCTAGCGCCTTCTTGTACAGGCGAAATGCCTCGTGGTAGTTCTTGCCGTTGTCCTCATTGATGGCCTGCGTCACGATCTCAATGGCCTGTGGGATGAACCTGTTCTCCATTGAGGCGCTACAATTGTAAAATACCAAGAGTGGTAAGGAAAATCCATTGTAGCTTTTCAACATTCATCGTATTGGTCAAAATAATTAGATTACATCCAATCCCAACGATACTGACGCTGAAGCCATTTCGCATAATGGGGGTGAGCCAGTCGAAAGGCGGGGACAGCGGCGGTGTACGCTGGAAGCTTCGGCCGTTGGTGCCACGCTCGTGGGCGGAACTGGGAAAACTGCATGTGCGCTTTCAGCAGGAGACGTATCGCCGCCGAGCTGATCCCGCGTTTCAGTACTTCATGCCCTTTCACGTGTTTCGGGCCATCGTGACGCCACTTTGCCCCGAGAAGGGCAAAATGCAGCTACTGGCGATGTTCGAAGATCTGGACGTGAAAAACACAAGAAAACTAGTCGTCATGGATTTCTTTAGTGGGCTGGCACTCCTTGTTGATGCCAAGAAGCTCCAGAAACTTGAATGTGAGACCACGTAGCAGGTGCTGCAGAGTCGTAGGGGCAGAACTAATATCTGGGACTTTAGTTGTATTATCGCTGCTAGATAATGGTGGTTTTAACACTCTCAATAAGTGCGAGTTGACGATGATTGTGTCGTCTGCTGCCAGGGGGCTGAAAATGTTCGCACCTGGAGCCGACGTGCTGCAGGAGGCCACGATGAGGCCTTTAATTCGGCGTACAGACGCACAATGCGCACTGAAGCAATGCAAATGACTGCTGAAATCGTGTTGTGCATCGTACTACAGGTTTATTTGGCTGGAGTGATGAGGAATTGCGGCAAACTGTCATCAACAAAGCTCTCGCGGACCCTGAAATTATCTTCTTCTTGAGCGATCTAGAGGCGGTGAGGATTGGAATCTGCCATGTACGACATACAATGTGTTACAACTTTATAAAATTATGTCGGATCATTGCAGGGTGTAGCAACATCTTCCGGAGAACTATTAATTCAGCAAGGCAAGCTCATGAATCGTATTGCCTACCTCGACTACCAAGCTGCACGAACTGCGACGCCAGGTATGATACTGTCGCTTTTCCATCGCATTCCGCTGTTCAGTTGTGCTGATTTTGTCGTATGGCATTTCCCAGAGGGGGGAGCAAGAACGGCGGTCGTATTTGATCCAGGCAGCGAGCCCAGCAAAAACACTGAGGACAAGTGGCCACTAACGCCCCCACTCGCTTCCACTGCAGAAAGTTTCACCCGAAGACTTCAGAGCGCAGTGTGCTCACCTCCTTCAATAGGATCAGACCAGTCAATGCGCGTGCTGCCCGCCGTCGAGATTAAAAAGTATGTCAATGCTTGTACCTTGCAGCGGCTGGTCACGGTTGCATCGGACGGTTGTCTTTCGCTCTCGCTAATTGAGGTAAGTAAATGCTGTCTGTAAATTATACGAATTCATCGCTTTACTGGCTTGTAGGCCACAGTGCTTGTAGGAGAAATGACCGTGGACCAATTTGGGCTTGTGCGGTGTGGCGACATCCTCCGCATCCTGACAGCATGGGTGCAAAATCGACAACAAGAAAAACCAGAGGCACTGTGGGAGGTTATGAGCAATTTTGTAACCGAGAGTGTGACAAGATTGGAGGAGCGCATGCGTGCTACGTTTGCTGCTTTCGGTAAAAGAACGATGATTACGCTGGTGCAAACGGCACGTCGACGCACAGCTGTAGCCATGGATCGTCTTCTTGAGAGTTTACAACTTGTTAAACTGAAGCCTGATGCTGATGATGGGGAACTCCAGTGGAGCATGAACATTTGTGTTGGTGCGAACGTGACGCCAATGAAATCACCGATAAGTTCGCCTGTTTTAAAAAGCATCGGGCCATCCGTGGGAAATAACATCAGATTCCGGCTGGGGATTCATCCTCCGAATAGCGATCTGGGAGTCAAAAGGAACCGAGCCGAGCTTGGGAAAGAAAGACTGCTCAAGTACGACAGTGATGACAGCCAACCAGAGGACCTGGACGTTGGTACTATGCGCGTGGTCGTAAACTTCTTTTTGAATCCGGAGACCACGGGTAAGCATCGATAGTGCTTTCTAAATTGTGTCCAGCTCATTCTGCGTTGCTGAACGCAGATAAGGAAGGAATTGACTTGGCGTCGTCGGTGGAGAAGGCAATACAGCAAGAGCGAGTGTGGGCCTCAATGGCATCACTTTGGACAGATTGCTCAGGTTTCACAACTGGCGTATCCACTGGCCAGCTTAAAACACTAATTGAAGTGCGTGCTCTATCATGTCCTCAGTTTCTGTGCATCCAGCGATACGATGTGAGGGAGGGGTTCAACCTGTTGTTGGCAAGTATCTCCGCGTGTGTATCGACTTCCGCGGTGATTTTTTCTCTGCTGTAGAGGTGGACTATCTTGTCTTGTTGAAGGAGCAAAAACGCCTCTCGCATTCTTCCTGTTGCTCCATATAATGCTGATACATATTTGCTTGGGTGTGTAGGAGTGCACAGGCGCATCATTTGCAGCTGGAATTCGCAGTTTTTTCTTGCTAGGCGAGTTGGATCGGTCTCTTTCAGATATCTGGCATCTATCACGGGGGATGGCAACACTACAGCGAAGCCTGGGGCAGAGGCAAAATCGAGAACGTGCGATAAGGATGATTTTTGATGCTTTCGTCGCAAACCACGATGGCGGATGGGGTCTTCAGGAGTTTAACACCTTCCAACAGGCGCTTGGGAAAGAAGCCCTGCACGAAGCGACACTGACCGAGTTGTTCGGAGAAGCCTCTACAATACCTTTTGAAAAGTTCATGGCGAAGTACGAAAATTATCCAGCGACAAGATTATTTGAGATGATCCGTCGACTTGGAATTGGTAGGGATCACTGCATGTACTCCTCTTGATGGGATTGCTGCTGTTTCGAGCGTTATTATGAAAGCTGACAACGTTGCTCGTACAGGATCACTTGGCGACCTGGTGAAGGGTTCCATCTCAATAACGTCGACGTCAAGTGAACTGTGTGTAAAAGCTCTGAGTGTTTTACTGAGCCCTCTTCGCTGGGCGGATGCTGTGTGGAAAAAACTGTTTGTTTTTACGAGGAACACGAAGGATTTAAGCTTCGAATTCCGTTCCATCAAGCTAGGCGAGCTCGTACAGAAGTTTTTCAACCATGACACACCGAAATTTGTCACAGATCCGCTGTTTGTGGCCTCGTGGATAGAACGATTTGAGGAATTTATCCATCCTCCGCACGCCGAGCACTCCAAGGATCGACCATGTCGTAGCATTTTTTGCTCGTTAGAACAAGAAGTGAGCAAGACGGAGCAGCAGTTGCAGTTCGATGACCAAAGCAAAAGGCTACCACGGGGGACATCTGCTTGGCGCGCTAAAGCTTTGATTCAGTTTCTGGAAATGGCAAAACTTGTTCAAGCGCATGTTCGAGGACCAGAGCTTCTAGATATACGCAGTAAGAGTATTCGCATTGTGTTGGAGCTGGATAACTGCTGGATTGCGCCTCCAACACGTCCGTTTGTTTAATTTTGGAGCTCAAACCATTTTGGTCATAAGCGCTCGATAATTAAATAGTTGCAGTGGTGCACTTCTCGAGCGATGAATCGTTTACAAAAAATGACGGCGGCTATTAAAGCAGACACGGGTTTAATACTCTCAAGCGAAGAGTCCAATGCAGCCTATACTCAAGCGCTCCAGGATCGGCATTGTGGTTTGTATCAAGATGCCGTAAATGCTTTGGAAGGCATCATTGAGGTAAGTAATACAGTAAAGCAACTTCATCCATGAAATGTTACCCTAGCGAACTGTTGACAGCACGAACCTGACTCCGAGAAACTATGGACTGAGCTTGCGATCACACAGTTCCAGCTATGGGAAGCCCACGTCAGGGCATTGCACATGCCTTCCATTCTCGAGGTTTCATCAACTACACAATCCAAACGACCCGGTGCTGATGCGAAACCACTACACACTGTGCTCCTACAGGAGGCCTACAGCACTTTCCTTATTGCGATGGAATATCCGAACAGCAAATCGAGCCCAGAACTGTTGCTTCCACTTGTGAGGCTTTACATCGAATTTGGTTCATACCGGGGTGCACTTGCTGTGTGCACTCTTCTCGTTGAAGGCTATCCGACGTCACCTCGCCTTAATGAGGCCATTTTCTTGTCGGCGCTAACCGCATCAGCCATGGATCGACATCGAGAAAGCGCACAATACTTTCAGTATCTAGCCGAAGAACAGTCATTGCCTCCGTATCGACTTGCAGCGTATCAATTCAGTCTGCTAGCAGCATTGGAGCTATCTGATGTACCAGGCATGCGTGCACTCGAGCGTGAGACGTATACTCAGGCGTACAAAGCGCTTGTTGTCCTTCCGCCAGTATTGCCATCAGAGAAGGCCGCGCACATATTATTCATGACGTCGCGAAAGAACGAGGATCAACGCACACTCATATGGTGTCGTGATGTTCAGACGTGGTTGGATCTAGCGCAGCGGCTCGCAGGACCAGCTAATGCACCGCTTCTGGTTCTATCAACTCTTCGTCAAGCTCGACGCAGGATGAAGCCAGCGTCAAAGGGTTTCCCTGCAGCCGAACGTCTTCTGGAAGGTGCGAATCTGTTGCGTACTGGAAATAATCCAGGGGCAGAGAAGGTTATTGCTGAAGCGCTGTTGAGGCTACCTCGGGATGAATACTACATCGCCCGTCATGAGCGATTCCTGCTCGAGATGTGTAGTGTTTCATGGCGAGCACATTTCGCCTTGGAGCACAAGAGTGCATCACGTTTGCAATCTTTTGTTTGGCGGTGTTGGAGGTTGGTGAAGTGGCGTCTCGGTGTCGCGTATGTGTTGGAGCAGCACCGCAATGTGATGGTAGTACGAATTCAATGCGCGTGGAGAGGGTTAAGAGCCCGACAAGAATTTGAATTATTGCGTGAAAAGCAACGAGAAAAGGAGGAGCTTGAAAATGTTGAAATGGGTGATCAAGACGACAGACTAATCGAGCTTCACCTGAACTCCACCGCAAGGAAAATTCAATCTCTGCTTCAGATTGCGAGGAGCAAGCAAACAGTGAGAGCTCTCCGTGCGCGAAAAACTGAACGTGAGGCTCGCTTGGCGGGGTTTGCTGAACGTCGAATCGAGCTTGGTCAACTTGGAGTCTTTCGTAGATGGCGCGGTTTCGTTTCCTTTCAGAAGCAGGCGCGCTTCGATGCTGCTGTGCTCATCAATCGTCAATTTCGCGCCTGGCACAGCCGCAAGCTCTGCAATCAGATGCTGCTTCAACGTCGACAACAAAATAGCATCCTGCAGCAGTGTCGAGTCCGACGTTCAGCGTCGCTGATATTGCGCGTGTTTCAAGCCTGGCACACGGAACTTATTGAGGTTCGATGTCGACGTGATTGGGCTTCACGGGTCATTCAGCGAAAATGTTGTTCAAAATTAGTCGTTCGTCAATACCATGTCGAGCTGCGACATCACCGGGCAGCGACCGCTACGATGAATCACTTGCTTTCTGATCGCAGACGAAAAATTCTGTTAAGCTTTTGGCGGGCACTCGCAAACCACGCGCTCGTCCGTCGTCTGCGCAAACGAGGTGCAGCTGTGACCATCCAAAAGCACATGAGAGGTGTACTCGCTCGAAAGCAAGCGAAACGGCTTCGAGCCCGTCGTCGACGAGCTCTCAAGGTACTAGTGAAGCTTTCATGCTCACGCCAAATTCAGCTTCTGCAGACAGGATTCAACTTTCTTTGTCAGCACGTTCAGGCATACCACAGAAGAAGATATGGCGCGGTATTATGCATCCAGGGATTAGCTCGGGGATTTGGCACTCGTCAAAGGCTGCATCGACGCCGTATTGCAGAAAGACTCGTCAACGGGGCCGTGACTATTGGCAGTAAGCTTAAGGGTCAATCCAGGGACATTAAACTGTGGGCATGTCTGCTAGAGCTCTCACGGTGCATATCACTCCGCCATGCTGCTGTAATTCAGGTGCAACGGTGGTGGAGAAGTCGACGAACGCGCTCTCGTACACTTCGAGTACTTAAAAAGCGTGCAGTGCAAATACAACTACTTGGCAGATTGCAGAAGAGTTTCTACACCCTTGCACGAAGCATTTTCCAACAACTTCGTGCAGAATCGAATGCCAGAAAGGCCCACCAACGCGCAGCAGCAAACATAATACAACGCCGACTCCGATGCTGGTTGATGCGTCGACGGTACCTCAGCACGCTTGACAGACAGTCGATAGCTGCTCAACGTGGCAAAAAAGCTTCTAAGAAAATAGTATTCCAAAGAGTGCGTCGATTGTTTTATGGCTGGAAAGAAGCGACGCGAGCGACACAAAGAGAGCAGTACGAAGCAGCTTGTCTAGTACAGCGAATATTCCGTCACCAACGTGCACAGCACCAAGCACGCTGTAACATGGTAAAAAAGGCAGCTCAAGAGCGATTGGTGGCTACAGCCTCACAAAAGCCATTGGAGCGCTTCTTCCGTCAGTGGGAGGCCGCGGCCCTACTTGATAAGAGTGTGCTGCATGTACGCAGTTCACCGTTTATAAAGTCAACGCCCGTGAGCGAGCAGTGGAAGCCTGGTACTGCGTCTGGAAACAAGTTTGACAAGCCCCTCACGCTCGAGGAGGTAAGCTGCCGCCGGCAACGCGTCATACTAGTAAAATGCACTACTAATCTCTCGACGTTCTTGAGCCCAGCGTGCAGAGATACCATCAATGCTTTTCTACATATTTCTCAATCGTGTTCGCCAAACTGGGATATGCCAGCTTTCGTATAGGTAAGTTCATACAACATTGTGATCTTCCACACGCCGCGAATGTCAAGTGAATAACCAGTTTCCTTGTTTCCCAATTATTCCACCCAGCGGGGGCACAGTATTCAAGAGTCCGCAAATCCGACAACTCATTTCTCTATCCACTAGCGTTATTGCCGACGGTGGTGGCGGCCTCCATACCAATTCAACCTCCAGTAAACCACTACTCAATCTCAACGAGCAGGTCGTGGACGCTTTGGACGCGTGCTCCAGCTCCCTTTCCAACTCGTGCCCTGTGCGGTCCCTCATCCTGTGCAACGCGCCGCTCCGATTTTTCCATGCGTCTCTTTTAGCAGCCATAGTGCAACGCAGCCGCCGCAGTTTCAACCTCGCGCTGGTGTCCGTCGTGCTTGTCAACGTCCCGCTCGCTCCTGTGTCCGTCGTGTCCCTCGCCTGTGCATTAGCTCAGAATCCGAGCTGTTTGCAGCAACTTGTTCTAGAACGTTGCCAAGTGGGCAGTGCTGGTGCCGCCGCGCTATTCGAGTCCTTGAGTTACAATCGAGCGCTGTGGAAGCTCGACCTCAGCGGGAATCACATCGCGGATGCTGCCTGTCCTGCTCTTTCTCGAGCGCTGTTGGCCAGCAGCCAATTGCGTGTTTTGGCGCTGAGCCGCAACTTCCTGTCGGACCGCGGCGTGTTCTGCTATCTGGCCCCGGCACTGGCCTCGAGTCAATTGGAGACGCTAGTGCTGTTACAGAACCCGCGCGTGTCGTCGATGGGCATCGGAGCACTTCGCCAAGCAGCGTCAACACGCGTGGTTTCAGATTGAGCTCTGTGATTGGTGGATAAATTGCCAAGAAGCAAATACCGTACTGTCTAGGTCTTTACTTGATCTACACTCAGAGTCGTATATTTCCCACCTACTACAAAGAACAAGGAACCAAGTTTACTTTTCACTGATTACCGCTCGTTACCGTTCTACAACTACAACCCGCTCTTCGCTCGCCCCACGCAAGGCCCCGCTCTACAAACAGCCGCGGACTGCCCGACCCTGACCAGTAGCGCGGCCGGAGGCGCCGCGCGAAGGGGAGGTGTGCGACATTTGTATCTGACATAGCCTTGGCAATGACGAATCCCGTAAACGAGCCCTGAAATAGGAGAAACGCAGTGTTGCCCCTGCGAGACTTCGGTAGTGGGATGACAAAGTCCATAGATACGATCTGGAACGGTCGTTCGGCTAGTACGTTGCCAGGTGAGTAACCACGAAGCTGCGGACGGCTTTTACTCGAGCTACATCCGGACATGACTTCACATGCTTTTCCACGTTAGCGTACAGGCTGATCCAATAATAATCGGACTTAACACGATGGAATGTTCTAACCACACCTTGATGTCCACCTTCCAGCGAGTCGTTACTGTGGTAAAGTGCTTTCTCAGAAATAAGAGAATGGGCCTGACGCGGGGTCACTATCCCGAATCAATGACAATTTCAAGTGATTAGAAAGGATTTGGGTTGGCTGGCACGGATGCAAGTTGCCGGTGGTGGATTAGCCATGACGAGCAGCGCCCCGTATGAAGTGACGATGGATCTGGTATGAGCGATGTACGAGAAGGCAAGATCCACCAAGACTTACCTCGGATCCACCCTTACTTGGATTCACCTAAATGGATATGGGATATACTATACAAGAGTGGATCGGGTGTGGATCCTATGAAGGAAGGATGGTAGGTGCCCTCTAAAGGTGGATCTAGTAGCCACGGCTAACGAGGAGTCAAGATCCACCACGAGGTGACCCGGATCCCATGCTTTCGAGTTAGGATCCAAGGAGGGAGGATCCCGCCTTAAGGGACCTGGATCCAGGGTATAGGTATGATGGATGCAGTGGATCTAGAGCTTTCGTGGGACAGTGGAGATCACAGACGGTTGCGAGATGATGTTGGATGAGTGGAGAGCTCAGGTCCACGACGAGTGTACACTTTCAAGTGAAGTGGATCCAAGCGACCTGGATCCTGATGAGTGTACCCATAATAGGGTAACCATAATGATTACGCCATGGATCCGGTGGATCTGAAGATAATACAGCTGGGATGATGGGTCAAGGGAAGAAGGGACATGCAGCCGAGCCTGGTAAGGGATTTAGCAGATGAAAGACATAGAAGGTAGAAACCCAGGCAGGTATAGGCTTAAATATCAATACAGACTCCAATTTGCACAGTGACACGCAAGTGCCTTCCTGCCCTCAAGAACCGGAACTACATTGGCCGTACGAGCTCCGAGAAGGTTGGGAATTGCGAATCTAGTGTTGGTAGTGATAACTGGATAATACATTGGCCAGATCCTACAACCTAGTGAGCTTTTCCTTTACTTGTGCAGATCCGACAGGTTAACCGAATTTACTACTTGGTCGGTTACACCCTAGAGGTTCTCAACTCTCAAGATCCCGTCACAGGAGGCGGCAAGTACGACTTAAAGGACAACACAAAGGCAAGGGAACACACCCGCAAGGCAACCCTACGGCTAGATCCACGATCTAGGCCCCGGATCCATAAGCTCGAATATTCGCTTAGGATACGGAACCATCCACGGACGCAGAGTGAAGATTTTCCACTGCTGCTCCACCCCATCCCCACGTCTCGCCAAGACACTCAAGCTTCACCACTTGAACTCTTCGGAAGTTACCGAGAGAGCAGATCCCGCCCTACCGACGGGTACACAAGGTGAGGAAAGTTCAGCAGAACACGGATCATCGGGGGACCCCCTCCGTTAGTCGGTGTCTGGGCGCAGTTGGTAAGTTGGATCTGGCAATCTCGCAGATTTTGCTGATCCCGCTACACCACAATGGTGCGCGTGCCCGGATCTTTTGGTGACTCGGGATTTCACCGTGAGTCCCAAGAAGATGCTCAAGTGAAGATTGAGCCAGGGGAAGAGGCGTCGTCGGAGGTCGGATCGACGAAGACGCTGCTGAATGAAACAAAATCCGCGGATCGATGGAGTTTTGGGAGGAACTCTGTCGACGGAAGAGAGGTGGATCCGGATCCGGATCTAGAAGAGAAACCTCTCTATCCTCCCCAGGTC